GAGAGACAGCTGCAGCGCGACAGCCCCTTCTCCATCAGACCAGAAAAACGGATCCCACCAAACAGATAGATGGATCTGTCTTCCTCTCAATCCATCAGCTTGAAAGCCCAACTACTTAGCTTTACAGCAAGTAGTGGTGGAGACTGCCCGCTGCTTGGATGGTCTGTACGACCTCAGCGGAAAAACCAGCCTGTGTCTGCCTCTCCCTTTCAGGAGCCACACCTGGAGAGGCTGGTCCAACACTGCACACTCAAGCATTGTGCATATGATGCCTCACCCTTGTGGCAGACCCCCTCAGCCCCAAACAATGGCTGGCGTTTGGAAAAGGCAGAGTGTCAGGCTCAAGCTCACAGCTTCCATGTGAAGCAGTGACAGGGTTAACACCCTCGCCTGCTGCAAAACAGTGCTATGAGCCACTCGTGGAGGAAATTAAACCAACCGAAGTGGCGAGCAATCTTTTGTCCCACTATACCGGAAGAGATGTGGCCTTGGCTGTCTCTCTCTGGCTATAGCCGACTAGCCTAGCTGCGCTGTGACCTGCAGATGCAGTTGCTAGCTTATCTACTTTCACTGCATGATCTAGCAACGCGCCCGTGCCAGTCATCGTGAGCGCGCTGGGAATAGAGAATTACAATACACTGCTTCATTGTTGTCACTTATGGCAGCGCGGATCTGGCGGTCACGCATAATCTGCTCTAGAGCAGGTTAGAGCATGTTACCATAGTGATCTACCCTGGTAAGAAGTGAACCACCGTTGTGGTACTGAATAACCCAGGGTTAACCCCAAAGTTATGTGGATAAGCTCAATTCCGTCTTTGTGGTACAGGCCTTGGATCAGAATGCCTGTATTTACTTAACCATACTATTGGTAGGCAGGAATGATTGTAAAGTCAGTTGCAAGGGGTAGTCAAAACACAGGTGTTGTTACACTATTACACAGTGTGTAATTATAATCCCAAGAGCTCGCACCTGACCAAAGGGAGTGCAGTGCACAGTAATTCAAATTTGATCACAAGTAGTTATTAGACTAGTTATTAGATAATCTACAAAGCAGATTTTGTAGTTGAGCTGTCCTGCAAATTTGTAGGTATCTCAGTTTACAGGTGCTGGTCATATAATTAGAATATCATCAAAAAGTTGATTTATTTCAGTAATTCCATTCAAAAAGTGAAACTTGTACAACGTATACATTCATTCCACACAGACTGATATATTTCAAGTGTTCATTCCTTTTAATTTTGATGATAACTGACAACTAATGAAAACCCCAAAATCAGTATCTCAGAAAATTAGAATAATGTGAAAAGGTTCAATATTGAAGACACCTGGTGCCACACTCTAATCAGTTAATTAACTCAAAACACCTGCAAAGACCTTTAAATGGTCTCTCAGTCTAGTTCTGTAGGCTACACAATCATGGGGAAGACTGCTGACTTGACAGCTGTCCAAAAGGCGACCATTGACACCTTGCACAAGGAGGGCAAGACACAAAAGGTCATTGCTAAAGAGGCTGGCTGTTCACAGAGCTCTGTGTCCAAGCACATTAATAGAGAGGCGAAGGGAAGGAAAAGATGTGGTAGAAAAAAGTGTGCAAGCAAAAGGGATAACTGCACCCTGGAGAGGATTGTGAAACAAAAGTCATTCAAAAATGTGGTGGAGATTCACAAAGAGTGGACTGCAGCTGGAGTCAGTGCTTCAAGAACCACCACGCACAGACATATGCAAGACCTGGGTTTCAGCTGTCGCATTCCTTGTGTCAAGCCACTCGTGAACAAGCCACAGAAGCGTCTCGCCTGGGCTAAAGACAAAAAGGACTGGACTGCTGCTGAGTGGTCCAAAGTTATGTTCTCTGATGGAAGTAAATTTTGCATTTCCTTTGGAAATCAAGGTCCCAGAGTCTGGAGGAAGAGAGGAGAGGCACAGAATCCACGTTGCTTGAAGTCCAGTGTAAAGTTTCCACAGTCAGTGATGGTTTGGGGTGCCATGTCATCTGCTGGTGTTGGTCCACTGTGTTTTCTGAGGTCCAAGGTCAACGCAGCCGTCTACCAGGAAGTTTTAGAGCACTTCATGCTTCCTGCTGCTGACCAACTTTATGGGGATGCAGATTTGATTTTCCAACAGGACTTGGCACCTGCACACAGTGCCAAAGCTACCAGTACCTGGTTTAAGGACCATGGTATCCCTGTTCTTAATTGGCCAGCAAATTCGCCTGACCTTAACCCTATAGAAAATCTATGGTGTATTGTGAAGAGGAAGATGCGATACGCCAGACCCAACAATGCAGAAGAGCTGAAGGCCACTATCAGAGCAACCTGGCCTCTCATAACACCCAAGCAGTGCCACAGACTGATCGACTTCATGCCACGCTGCATTGCTGCAGTAATTCAGGCAAAAGGAGCCCCAACTAAGTATTGAGTGCTGTACATGCTCATACTTGTTGGCCAACATTTCTAAAAATCCTTTTTTTGTATTGGTCTTAATATTCTAAATTTGTGATTTTCTTTAGGTCAGTTTTAATCATCACAATTAAATGAAATAAACATTTGAAATATATCAGTCTGTGTGTAATGAATGAATGAATATAATATCCAAGTTTCACTTTTTGAATGGAATTACTGAAATAAATCAACTTTTTGATGATATTCTAATTATATGACCAGCACCTGTACAGAGGAAGACACTGTTGGCTCTGCAAGTATGAGGCTGCACAAGGCATTTTTTCTGCAAGCAGGATGCTGATGTATCACTGAAATCAGTGTGATCTGTAAAGAAGGTGCCAGTTTGAGAAGAGATGGATTTACTGCTGATGGGATTCTAACTAACTGCATATCTACATATAACAACAAAACTATCATCACATTTGAAGAGAAATTAGAAAATATGTTGTGTGAAAGTAGAACAGCTTTTGTATGCTGTGTAGTTTCATTGCAGAGAGCTGAAGGCCAGTCCTTCTGTGGCTTTCATTTCGGCTGATACAGTGTTTTCCCCAAAGTGGAAAGTGCTTACCAACATGTGCATGCAAACCCTTTCAGGACAGAAAGCTACAGCTTTTAATTGTTCATATACACATTCACTGTAAAAAGTATTGTGGATATGTTTTATCCTGACCTTGAATAGAAATGTAAATGTTAAAGAAAGGAGGCCTCATGACTCTCTGCTTCATATCATATTTTATTTAACAAAGGTTTGACTTTAGATTCCTCATGATCTTCAGGTCAGTTGTGCTCCCACCTGTGCTTTATTTGCCCGTTAAACCAGTGACATGTACGTCACTCACTCCTCCCTGCTTGCAAAATCTCCCTATTAGGAAATTTAAAGTCATCAGTGTCCTTTGCTGGCTCCTCCTCCATCAAAACATGAAGGTATGGTGAAATGGGACACAACACTGTCATCTCTCAGTGCTGTTATTTGGGGGTGGTAGCGCAATTGATAAGACACACGCCTTTGGTGTGAGAGACCCAGGTTCCCCACTGTGATCTATCCACCACTGTGTCCCTGAGCAAGAACCCCTAGTTGTTGCAGAGGTGTGTGACCTCTGACATGTATAGCAATTGTAAGTTGCTTTGGGTAAAAGCATCAGCTAAATGAATAAATGTTGTCCTTTAAGCACATTTATACAATAAAGGTCACCAAGCGCACTTTGAGCTTTGTAAATTTTGCCACTGCCTCACTGGGCCCTTACAAGGCTTCACTAACCAAAGGCCCAAGAAAGTTCTTCCCTTGAGCGCCTGTTTGTGCAGCCCTGGAGCAGCTGCTCTTTGAATTATAACTTAATTCTCATGTTCAGTGAATTTCTAGGTGGCTTTGCACCAGTTTGTAAATCCACCACCCTTGAAAGGTCTATCAAATCTGGCATGTTACTGCACACCGTCTTTCACATAAAGCAGCCTGCTTTGAATGTACAGGTGAGCTTTTCTGTTCCAAAAGAACAGTGTACAGCCTGTTGAGAGAATGGCTTCATGAGTGTCAGGCCCCATCCACTTTACGTTTTACTTTACAAACGGAGAATTTAATTTATTATCTCCATCCACACTAGTGATTTACACTGGGCATGTGCGTGCCAGTGTAAACATGAAGCAGATGGTCTATTCCGTAAAATACATACAGATGAAGCATCAGACCAGTTTTTTGCATGCACCAATAATGAGCTGGGACTGTTACTGAATGTAACACAAGAGTGTGGCGGCGGAAAGCAGACTGGGCGTTGTCAAAGTAAACGGTGACATGCACAGTACAAGTATAGGCGGATAAGTTTTATTTGTACGGTACAGAATATTTTAATAAAAATACCATGTCAAAAACCCGGTCAGTAGCATCATGCTTCTGCTTTGTATGAGTTGAGACCCAATTAGAGCCGAGCGTGAGAGTCTGCGTCATCGTTTCTAAAGTCCTCCATTTTGGCCCGTCTGCACTAAAACACCCTCTGAAGTTTTAAAACACAAAGCTGGGTCGGCAGCCCTTCCAAGCTTCTGTTTCAGGTCTTAGTCATTGTAGTCTGGATGGAAGGTGCAAATGTAGCAAGAAGTCTGTTTTAATTCAAATACGCAGTAATGTGGATGAGGCCTCACTCTGCTTCAGGCATCTTGGGAGAGACTTAAACACTGAAGATGAGCAAGTTAGTCTGCTAGGTGTGAAGAAACCAATCTCCCTGATATAAACAGTGCTGTTTATCACCACAGTGCAAAGTGCAACAAGCAGCATGTGGGTGCCATAAATATTTATATTAAAAAATACAACTACCAATCACTTTTTATTCAGACATGTAACACATTGACATCACAGTTTAAATATCTACTTTCTGTACAAATATAGAACCTGATCACTTTGTCTATGTGGCACAGTGGACCAGGAAGGGAGCAAAACTAACTAAATAGCCAAACAGGAAACTAAATGAGGTGAAACAGCAGTGGTCAAAAACAAGGAGGAACCAGGAAAACTGAGTGAAACAATTAGCCAGGCTCAGCCTTACTGCATTAAAATACATTTATGTATCTACTCACCACCTCTGAGATGGGTCATGAAGATACAACAATAAACAGTCACAGGGCAGGAGAAAAGGAGGTTCCTAACAGGTCAAAGTGCAGGTAAGCAACATAAACTGTTAAGGGAAAACAAACATGCATGAAACTATTCCTTTCACATAACCAGACCACAACCACAGCAGGGACAGATCAAGAAGCAGAGAGAGAGAAAGGGAACACAGGTGTCTTATATAGCCTAAGCCTAATAAGGAGGTTGGCCAGGGGAGGAGTTAAGTCAAGGCTGCATTCAACACCACCACACCTTAACCTGCACCTGGGGAATCTTTCCCCACCACATCTACTTGACAGAGGAAAGTCAGCCAGTATTCACTGCTTCATGTCCGACTTGATTCAGATTCAGATGTGCGACCTCATGATTTTCACCTCAGCTGTGCTCATGCCGCGTTCGAGACCGGTCGGAACTGGGATTTTTCCCAGTTGAAACTTCCGACCTCAAAGCGTTCCAGGTGCATGATGGGGCATGACGCCGAAAGTGAACAAAAACCATGGCTGACCGTGACAAAGTTTACACACAGTTGCACCCTCAGCAGTGCTTTAGGTGTTAATTAAAAGGATGGCAGTTTAACTGCAACAACTGACATAAATAGCCTATACTTTACTAGTTAACTGTGTACCCGTCTAGCTACATCAGTTGGTAACCCTCAAGTCAGTCAATGTTGTAGATTACACTTCCTAATGTTTTGGCATTTTTAACAATAACTTTTATGCAGAGAAGATGACTTTATGCGATTCTTTACTGTAGCCAGCAACCTAATAGGCCTAACATATTTCTACATCAATGTACATGCTGAACAGGTTTTACTATATGACCGCATGTATTATTTTAATTTAAATACATGCAAATATACAATACAATATATGAAACTATGCACTCATATTTGCTTGACTGAGGCAATAAAAAAGGCATCTAATTGTTTCATTGAGGTTGTCTTCCTGTTCACCTTATTTATGAGAAGATTCTCCATGTGTGTTTATTATCCTATATCATGTTTTTTTGCAAACGATCTTAAATGATGTTTCGTATTGTGAAAATCAATCAAACAGGTGTTTGTTTATTCAGAGATGCTTTCATCTGTTTGGCAAATGAACTAATAATATTAAATAACATTAAGTTTTATTGGCCTTCGATACTCTGAGGTAATATTTAGATTTATTTTGCACTATAGTATCCATTTCATACGTTTCATGCTTCTCATTTCTCCAGTTTATGTGGGTATGCATGGTTCAGAGTTTGCATGGAGGACCGCACACTCTCCCGTCAAGTTTGTTTTTTATAGATCAGAACCTTTGCTTGGGAAGTGGCGTACGCATGTTTATAAATGAGGCCCCAGGTTCACACAGTGACACTGTTTGGAGTAAAGCAGCCGTCATCCTGATCAATCCTGAGCTCCATCAGAGCGTCTAAATTGTTTCAGAAGTAAAAAGTAGCTTCCTTCCTGTGCTTTGACAGAAGTGTGAACATGTAAAAGTTCTGATTAATAAGAAGATGCCAAACCATTTAAAATCTTAAAATCAATCTTGAAGCGGACATGAAGCCAGTGGAATGAGGCTAAAATGCACTTTTTTGTTCCGGTTAGAAGTCGAGTAGCCAAGATATTATAAATGCATGGATTACTCTTTCAAAATCTTTGTGCAGCAGGTAGAGCTTGACTTTAGCCAACAGTTTCAGCTGGAAAACAAAATGCTTTTACAACAAAACTAATGTTTTTCAAATTTGAAGCACTGTCAAAGATCACACCCAGATTCTTGGATAATGGACGACTATATGATCCTAAAGTACCAATAACATCTACACAAGTACTTAAATCCCCAGGATGACCAGACACAACAAGCTCAGCTTTACTTTGGTTAAGATCTCTCAGGCAGTTAAGCAAATAGATTTGTTTATCATCCACAAAGCAATGAAAGGAAGGATTCATTATTAATCTCCATCACCTGACATACACATTCCTTGTCCTGCTCTGTTCTTTAGCTATGACTGATAGTCAGTGTTGGGCAGTAACGCTTTACTAAGTAATATTATTACTTTTCCCAGTAACTAGTGGTAAAAACTATTTCCAAAACAGTAATAATATGACAGTTACTAATCCAAGTAAGGCTGCGTTACCGCTTTGCCCGAACTGAACGCAACATCATTGATGTGAATGCGAGACTATGGGGCAGGTCAGCGGCAGATCAAGTCGAGAAGCCGAACCTTATGTAGTTCAAGTCAGCTGTTAGCCAGAAAGCTAAAGGAAGAACAGAGAACGAGAGATAGGCATATTTTGACAGCTGAGAGTATTTCTATTATTGTGTCACAGTCTAAGATGCAGAGAGCATTGTTGTCTGTTGTAAACTTTGTGCAACCAGCAAAACGCTTTCAACCGCGAATAATTCTACATCTAATTTAAGTAAGCCACATTTTGTTTTATAAAACTACTGGATACCGCTCTTATAAATGCACGTGTAGTAGTAAAAGTGTTATAGAAATGTAACTTCTTACGTTTTAGACCCAGTAAAAACTAAAGTAAGATTATTACTTTTTTAAGGAGTAATAAGTAAAAAGTATCTTTTTAAATTCCAGAGTAACTTTCCCAACACAGCTGATAGCAGGGCAGAGATGTGTGAGTGAGAGCAGCTACGCTTAAAATTGAACCACTGTGTAACTGAGAAATCTCATGAATTTTTGAGTAACTTGGCACCTGTTTGTAAATCTACCACCTCTAACAAAACGTCTATAAAGTCTGGCATCATCTTCACTCACTAGCTCCCACAGCTTTGATTGTTGTAGACTTCAAATTATGTAGCTGCTGAACTGGAAACCGTAAATAATCACTGGTGACAGGGACCAGAAGGGGTTTGAAAATACAGCATACTTCATCTACTTGAGAGAGCAATCCCTACTTCATCTGATTATGCTTCCTGTTCAGGGGACAGGACGTCAGGTTGAGTGGCTTGTTTTGTCATTAAATGACAGCATGGAAATGATATTAGCCGCCTTGGATGCCTGGAAGTCGCACTGGTGATGATCACCACAAGTTGAGTGAGAAAATATAAGGTCAGAGCCAGTTTGCTGGTCATCTGTAATGAGGTGTGTTAATGTAGGCAGTGTGGATGTTAAAGTAAGTAAATACTAACTTACCAGTCCGGAAGAGGGGAAGAAAACGAAGGCAAATTGGAAAAGCCATTTAGTTTCCCTTGGGGCGTTCACCCAACATATTTTCAAAAAATGCTCAAACAGAAGCCCCCAAAAGTTTCCCCTTTTCCTCCTCTTTTTGCTGCACTTTTATTCCTCCTATTGAGCTCTAGGGTCAACAACTTGTAATTGATTGGCAGGAAGGACCTCAGCCATTTTCCAAACGTTCACTGGCTGCCAGAAGCCATCAGATTGATTGGTTCTTTGCATTATTTCTCCTTTTATGGGTGGATGGCCCTCCTGTCCAGTAGTTGCAACACCCCTTTGCTCTAGTCACAAATTAACAATAAAAATAATAAAACATATGTAAATTCAACAAACTATGACTGTGTAATCTTTTGTCATTTCCAATGCATAAAGACCAGACATATACTGTAGGTCTCAATTTCAAAACAAGACAAAATGAGCATCTCTTCACTTATACACGTTAAATGCATGACACAAATGAAAATCACATACGAAATACAGAAAAGACATCAAACCCGGGTTTTGAGTAAAAAAACCTTTGTTTTTCTTTGTAAAAGAGGTTGCTTTCATTTTCACAATGGCTGGTGACGTATAGATTAATTTCTTGTTGTCTGCGTTCTTTCCTGATCAGAACAATTATATTCACATCATCTGGGGATGCATATACAGAACGTGACATTCTTACAAAAAACAAGTTTTAAAGTTAACTAAAAATGTATATTTACATAAAAAAATAATATAAAGTTCAGAAGAAAACTCCTGACGTTCCCCTCTTTATCACACCTTCTTTCACACCTCCCCTCATGTGCGCGAGATACACACATCTGTGGTCAGGGACACCTTCTGTGTTTAACTTGTGGTTATTTAACTACTTTAAACAAATCCTTATCTTAAACATGTACAGCCTATAGAGTGAACAGTTTCATGTGAGACTGTAAAAGTGTTGCTCTGCTTCAGTAAATGCTAAAACACCATGTTAAGTTAAAACAGCAAATCTGTCAGAGGTGTGAAATGCACATACAGACACCTACCTGATAGAGAAAGTGCTGTTTATCACCACAGTGCAAAGAGTGAAAACTGGCATGTTTGTGTCATAAATATTTATATTCATAACTACAATTACCAATCATTTTAAAATATTTGTATTATTATTTATTAATCTTTTTATTTTATTTAGACATGTAACACAGTGACATCACAGTGAAAATATCCAGTTTCCAAAGTATCTGTATAAAAGTAGAACCTGATCACTTTGTCTACTTGACAGAGGAAAGCCAGCCAGCATTCACTGCTTCATTTTCATGCTTCATTTCAGACTTGATTCTTTAAGAGATTTGATTCCTCATAATTATCACTTGCTGTGCTCAGACCACACTCTGCTGTCTCTTCCTGTTAAACAAAAAGGTTAAAAGTTCAGATAAAATTAGCAAGACAGAGGGTGAGAGAGTCATGAGAGTAAAAAACACAATCACATGTTTAGTAATTTTAGTAATTGTAATCTTTTCCAATAAGAAAATTATCACTCCTTCCATCCGTCCATAAAAGAACAGCAGTGGATGAATATGAGTCTATCTACTGGCACCATAAACAACATGAGTTTCCACTTCTCTCTCTGATGCAGGCCTCCTGCTTCTTATTGTCTTTCTGAATTCTGTCTGGAGGCTGATATCAGGGGACTGTGGTGACCTGAATGTTCCTGGACACATTTGTGGATGACTATATATATATTACAGGGATCATGTTTGAAAATAGTCTGCTTCTTTGGGGTCCATGATGACCATGGATGTATAAACGTGGCCCTCTGTGATGTTAATGTCCTCTGACATCAAGCTGCTGATCTACTGCAGATGACTTAAGAGAAACCCTGTGAGACATCTGCTGTTACACCCCCTACAGGCAAGACTGAGACAAATAGTTTAATCTGGTGACTTTGCCAAAAATGTTATTGTGA